GGGTTTTTCCAGTATACTACGATATGTTTTCTTATTAACTGCAGCATATATATTATGAAGAAGACTGTCCTGCTTAATATACGTAGACCAACCATAACTTCATAACTTTTTACTTTCAATTCTGACCTCAACAACTGCTCTGCTAGGATCTCTTTTTCCTAATGTAGTGAGAGCAGGACGTAATAATAAAATCTGAACCAGCATAATTCAGTATGTAATTTAACTGTAAACCATGAAGAAATGTTTAGAGTTAGAATGCATTCCATATACAAAAATCTAAATTTAAAAGCTACCTCACTCTCAACCAATATTAATAGCACATACCATAAGAATTATAAATGCAGAGCGCGTGTCTAGTCTCATTCTATTTGAATATAGATTACAGAGGGTGGTATGTGCGCACAAAAAATAGATCGTATTTTGCTGCTTTTTTTATGGCGCGCTGTCGCGATTTGCGATGCGGCGCAGCGGAATTCTGCACCGTCAAGGGGGCGTAAGCGCTACTCTGGAGCATTTTAACCGAGTACACTAAGCAGAGAGAGGCCCTTTCGGTCTGCCTGCCGGATAGTATACGCTTCCAGAACAACACCGGACTGCCGAGTCATTATCGTCACAGCCATACTTAACACTAGCATAAATGATGGAGGTGTGTGAAAATACTAAGGCAAGCCAGCGCAGTGACATTGTCTTAACTTTGAAACGACGGCTCAATTCTCTTTAATGAGGGCATAAAACAAGTGAGTCTAGAACAGTCGTTTCTTGCAAACATAAACTCATCACAAGGTTCATTTGTTTAAGGATTAGCTCGGAGAACTAGATAATATTCAGGAGTAGTTTATATTTTGTTTAAAAAAACGCTAACTGTTTCACAAAAAAAAAACTTGCATGAATTTACTGCAATCAGTGAAACCATGCCAACAAATGTGGAAACTTTGAATACAGTTCCATATTTTAGAGCGCATTGGGTGTAAAGTTTTTTTTTCCCTTCATTTCTGTCTTATGCAACAATGCTGCTTAACTGAATTTTGCTTTCTTATGCAAAACCGACCAGAGCTGTGCTAGTGGAAAGTTAAATCATCATTTACGGCAAAGTTGACGGACAGAACACACGCCTATTTAATGTTTTGTGCCTGTCCGAAACGCTGCAACGACAGCCGGCATAGGACCGTGGCTGCAGTAATTACGCCCGAATGTTATCTCAGCACTTGGAAACTATCTGTGATTATCAAATATTTGACTTCAACAGGCTATTTTATTTGTTACAAAGTTGTGTTTTTTTAGGAGGAGGAATTGTGCTAGTGTTGTATTCAGCGTGTATCAGGCTCGGCTGACAAAAGATGAGGCAATAATCACCCTGGTAACTTAGCTAAGTAATTAATATTCGTCAATTGACATTTAATTTATTGGTTTTAAGAGCCGTGTTGAAACGTTCAATATCGACTGAAATAACAATTCGTGTTCAGATCAAATAAAAAATTGTTCGGAAATGTAAATGTTTGTTATATATTTTTCAATCAACCACCGCATTTCTTAGCGCGATTTCTGAAATAGCAATGGCCAACTTCTTGGGACATTCAGTGGAAAAATGGTATAAGTATAAATTTCAAAATTCTAATTAAAATTTGTTTTATTATTTGCAGGTAATTACATTCCCGGGTCACGGGGTACATTTTGATATTTTATCAAGAGAGAAACATGAACAATTTCGTGAATGCAAGCTACAAGATTCAATGCAAAAAAAAGAAAAAAATGTGGAGCCCTGGAAGAAACCTTTATACGCGTCTTAACGTTTAATTACAGCTTATTTATATTTTATGACTGTCATATAAAACATTCCAATGGAACATTGAGATGCTCCTCAATGTTCAGTTAAAAACTTATTATAGTGCATGCGCCATGGCATAGATGTCCAATAAACTTCGAGATTGCACAAAAGGGGCGCCATAAGCCGTCACCACAATTACACTTTAAAGAGTGACGTAGTTGTTTCAGTCTTGTCATGCATATCTTGGAACTGATATTGATAAGTGCGCCGAAAACGCAGGTGACGACACGGCTCAAACGATTACGCCCGTGACTTTGTTTCGATAACATCCATAACGACCAAAGTTTCATAACATAAATGCTTACCTTATTCATTACAATCACCAAATATTGATTGAGGTAACTTCCTTTCTGTTCTTCAAGAGCATCGTCGTAGAGTATTCTCGTTTCAACGGTAACTGTTTCTGGAGAATTCCGCAGGCGTTGTCTTGCCACTAAAATAAAATTTCAATGCGGCATGTAGTAATGAAAACCTTGATTTTAATCATTTGTTTTTGTTTTATTAAACCTTAGACGCTCAAGCATCTTAAGCATTATTGCGGGGTGCGAAATGCAATATAATAAAAATCAGCATTCTACCCAGGTATGAAGCGAAACAAGCGCCTAACTTGGCAAAAGTGTGGAACGCGTAGGGTCCTAACTTAAGCCTTGTGAGGTTTTGCTCCATAGCACTTGTCTGTGGAAAACTACTTTGCCTACCTATGGCGCTATTTCGGCAATCCTGATTCATGTCAAAGTTGTCTTCTATCAAGAGTGCCAATAGTAAGTGCCATACCTGAGGCACAACTCAGAAAGTAAATCTTATTTAGGGATCCAGGAGAATGCCAAAGATTGTCCTTCCTCTTGCCAGTTACTGGAGTGCCAAGTTTGTGCAGAAAACGCCAATGAAATACCAAAGATACGGTAAAGTTTGGCTTTCTTTTTTCTTTTTTTTGGTTAGCCAGAAGAGTGCTACCTAACATACGCCGGGAGAAAAACGGCGAAACAGTTTGACGCAGGATTGTGATATATCGTCAGCCTCCTTAATATCGTCAAACGCAAAAATAAAATGCTGCCGTTAAGTTTTGTTTTTGGGTTTGCGGAGTCTGAAGCAGGCGTGAACTGTGAAGCCACGACCTTTTTTTATGACCAGGCTTTAAGAATGATTAGCCGCAACGCAAGACAAGCACAGTGCTATGCCCCCTTTTCCAACACGTATCATTATAATGGTTTGTGTTGAGGAGACCTCTTTACGTCAGTATCGTGCATCGCTCGCGGGATGACAGCAGTTTCTGTAAAGTTCAACCAGCCTCAGGGGCGTCCTTTGTTCAATGAGCAACTCTCGACGATGACGCCCACACCCAAGTGCGGGCGACAGTACCCACCGCATTCTGCGGCTTAAAAATCAGCGTTGTCTTGTACTGCTATGGCAAAATATTTAGCCCACATTATGGTAGAAAATTCACGAGACACCGAAACTTAAATAAAAATGTTGTGGGTGAAATGCAATTATATTTTCTTTAAATACGTGAAAGGCCACCAGAAAAATGCCAGCGGGGCCCACATTGATTGCCTAACTCTGGCACTGCAAAAATATCGGTTCAAGAGTAGGTTGATATGGTATTCCTTTGCTTGCTTCAGGCCGAGCAGAGTGGGAGGATGGTTTCTTTTGAATCAGCTTCGGAACCAAAGATTACCCACAATGTGTACGAATGAGAAGTTTGAATGAGCCTTATCTAGATCACAGCGGCTCAAGGGGCCAACAGTATAAAGCTGATCTTTTCGTTGTCAACAAATAGGGAGAGGCTTTGCGCGGGTGTTGTTTTTTAGCCAATTTGTATTGAACAAGGTGGTCTTGACCAAGTCGTCTTTTTAAGTGACAGCACATATTTGCGTAAGGTGGCAAAATGTCAGATGCTAGACGGACTACCAGAAAATAAAACCTAACGTTGAGCTAGCTAGTTAATTTGGGACGAAAACGGCAGATTCGCACCAAAATTGCAAAAAAAGATGCATAACTCTCTGACTTTTTAGGCGGAATTAGTCTGCGATATGCCAGATTGTAAACAAACTAGACCTGGGAATGAAGATTAATTTTGGAGCAGTAAACCTATAGCTGCGGCGCTTGTGTGGCGATTTTGGCCCAAAGATTCCAAAAAGAACTATGAAGAAATTAAACATAACTTTGGCACTTGTTAAGCTATCTGGGATTTAAGCTTACAGATAATGTCTGAACTACCAGGTAGAAAGCCTAATTCTGGCTCTTTCTTGACTATTTTCGCCAAGAATGGCCAGATAACTACGGAAACACGGCAGGTCAAAGCTAACTTTGGAAGTTTTTCTGAATATTTAGGCACAAAGTTGCCTCATGGGAGACGAACTACTTGACAATAAGCCTAACTCTGGCACTTGTTTGGCGATTTTGGTTCAAAGATTTCAAATGACACCCAAACTACAATGGAGTAAATCATAACTATAGCTATGGTTTCGTGAATTAGGGCCAACATGCCCAGACTATTTTCGAAAAACGTAACGTTAAGCCCGACTTGGGCTTGTTCTGCTTTTCAAGGCCTTAAACAGCAAGGCAGAAGCCGAATCTTTGCCCAGACCTCTGAACACTTTCGGTGTTAAAAATTTTATTAAGAAAACAAAGGGCCAGGTAAAAAACGAACGATTAATTAATAACTTGCAAAAATTGTATATGTACTCACTCGTGACCGGCTCGAAAAAAAAAATAACCCGTAATTTTGTTTTTTGAAAACTTCAGATAAGAAGTGAATACATTTCGTAACGCCAAAAATTATGCATGATCGTTTATAAATATTGAAAACGATGATTCCCACGGGGCGCCGCACAAGCGCAAGATGATTTTAAATAATGCGATTGGAGATAATGCAAAGGGACTGAAAGCGTTGGTTGTAAAATATAAGCTTTGATTTGATAATAACTTGTTCTTCATAGGATGAGCATAAGAAATCAAGGTGTTGTTATTAACCCTTGCTTTTGATAATATCCAGACTGAAGAATATCGTCATAATCTATCTGTAGCATTGGAAGCAATTTTTTTAATCAATGTCCGTAATAATATTTTGATTTCTATAAATACTAAAGAATTCTAATTTTGTTTAATGTTGTGAATAAAGTGCATGCGTTTTGTCGCGTAAATGACCAATTATAAACTATTAAATGTCACTCACCTCTGTGGATGTCGCCCCTTGCTTCTCGTTCGGCTAAGTGTGTGTAATGAACTGTAAAATAAAAAAACAATTAATTATATCTCACTGTTCATTTTTCAGCCAAATATTTCTTCAGGAGCGAGTAAAAGCAAAGTAGCTTGCTTCCATTTGATAGGAATATTTCACTACAAAAAATATGACACCTTGTATTTATTTATTTGATTTATAATACTTATCCTTACGTATTTTATAGGTAATCAACAGACCAGAGTCAGAGTTATGTAAAAAAAAATTCAACGATATAAACTTAAAGAAAAAATGCACGTGCGTTGTAAGTCTTCGGAAAATAGGATTCGACAACAACGAGAAACTAACTGCACAACACTGAAAAGTACAGACAATAAAAACCATATATTTAACTTGATAATGACATACTCCATCGAAAAACCGATCACGGTTTTATTCACCTGTTACAAAATATTTTGCCTAATTTTGTAGCTATTATTTATAACCAGATTGTGAAGTGGGTCTTACCATAATCAGCATACATTGGGATGGACGAATCATTTAACTTTGATATCAGGTGAGCAACGATTCCGTCTTTCGATCGTTGATTCGATAAAACTGGCTCGATTGATAAAGTGTCTGTGAGGATACCAGTCTGCAAAGGTTATTTCAATATAAGCTATTAAAATAGTTATGGCTTAGAAGGGAGCAATATTTTATTTGCGAATTTTATCTGTAATAACACGTGTATATCATACCACTTGGACATATCCATTCGATTCTTGGACCACAACGGAGGAGCCGTGTTTCCTGTCCTGGTACAAACTCTCTTCAATTTCCTTGACATTCAGCTGGCAACAACGTGAGAGCATTAATTGCAGTGCTGCGAAAGTAGTTATAAACACGTTTTCTTCAACCCTTAACGGCATCCTGAGCTATTTCGACATAAAATTATCTCCCAAAAAGCCATGAACCTACACTTTGATTATGCCCAGTATCCCAAAATCACATAAATGTAGACGGCATATAAATTGCAAACATAATGTCAGTACATTCTTAAAAACCAAAAGCGCAAACAGCAAGGAATAGAAGAGGTGACAGGAGAAAGCGCCAAGTCCTGTCCCCTCTTTTTTCCGCTGCTGTTTTGCACTTTTGTTTTTTAACATTGTATAGCCAACTAGCCCTAACTGTTCATTTTGATTCAGCATCATGGCAGTGCCGAATTTGTATCAGTGTTAACGATTTCGTCGTAAGTGTACAGTATATATATCTTTAAAAAGTTTATTTTGGCTTTAAAATATACTATAAACACTTACAACGAAAGCTTGATTAACTTTAATGAGAGCGCACAGCTTGCACCCTTCAGGACGCGTCACTCAAATTTTCATTAAAATCTCATACAATGAACTAAACCAGTCCTTATCAATCGTAACCATCCGCTGAGCAACACCATGATTGCATTTATGGGACATGGCTAAAGCCATTTGTACATGCAGTTGTGATGATCACAGCTCAGATCTTAAGTTTATACTATACGATTCGGATGTTTTTGCAGGCAGAACGGGAAGTTTTATTTGGGATTGACAATTATCCCGCAGAAGCCAGCCGGAGAATATACGCACCATTCCAATAATCACCTTCTATCGTAGAGTTTTTTTTTGCGTACTCGGCGTTTGCACGCCGTCTTAGCATTTGCAGTAAATATCTTCGTCTAAATATCGAATTTCGCAAATATGTTTACAGGCTACTGACCCATAATTTACTGCATATCAGGTAAGTGCTAGAAAATAATAAATAACCTTATACCCCCGAAAGCTTAACCAGGAAGGATGATATACTTTGCGTAAAAACACTGTTTCTAAAGTGTAAACACATCATTTTGAACGCGCTGTAAAATAGGTAGACGGCACCAACAATTCTCACAAGGAAACATAAACATATGTGGCGAATGTCATTCATAACGTACAATTCACGAATGCAGATAAGCATGGAGCGAGGAAGCGAGTTATTGTCGGATAAGTATGGCACTGACAGTTTCTGCATAGAAACGCACTAACCCGATTTTATTTTAACGTATAAACCTACTTCAATTATATGTACTTACAGAACTGTTGGAGTCATTCACATCGTCGCCCTTGGTGAAACTGAAGTTTCCGGCGAACACTTTGCTCTTTTCTAAGCTCAGAGTAAGCCCGTCTCGAATGTGGAGCATCTTCTCGCCATTTGCGCCTCTCGCTTGGAGAATTTTCGGATAAACATACTCCTTCACAGGCAGTTCTGTAAAGAGAGAATTTGTCATAGTTAGAAATGATCAGCGTTCAGCCTCGAGGGTCGAATAAATTTTCGAATTGTTTTAACCTGTGGCAAACTTCCAAAAATGTTGGACTCCTGAAAGTGCGTGGCCAAACTTCTACAAAAAAAAATTATACTTTTCTTAAAATGCTTGATATAGCATTTTGATTTAGTGTTCAGCTGATATATGTCACTGTCAGTTTAATATAGCAGAAAACCTTAAAAACTTTATGAATGAGTGTATTAGTCGAAAAAAAATATTATAAAGAACGTCTGCAGCTTTATCTGCAAGGTGGCTCCAACACAGTTTTAGCTATGCGCCTACGGTCAAACTTCGCTTTAGAAACTTGTAAACGTTTAATCTATTTAAACTCCAAACTCGACAAGTTTACGAAGTGATTAGTAAAAATTTCTTTAAACATTTTTGGCCTTTCCACTTTGGTGAAGAAGGAAGACCAGCGAAGCTGTACTATGGTGGAAATGAAGTAATGGCCGGCCGCAAGTCGGCAAGCCAGAGTGGAAAGGCTCGAAGGGTTGCGCCATCTATGAGCGACGGCGGCAAGCGGACAACCAACAAACACAACACTCTGGACAGCTACCGCCATCTATGAGCGACGGCGGCAACCAGAGTTGTGGGTCGACATTTTTTTGCGGAGGACATGATCCTGGGGAAACTAGTCCTTAACAACTCCGATGTAAAGAAAAAAATGCTGGATGCAATTTTAGACTTATTTAATAATCATTACTTACTGAAAATGGTAGAATGAACGAAAGTCAAACTGATTTTTCTACAGTTTTACCCTCACTTTCATGGTGAGCACAATTGGTACCTATTTATGCATAAATCTCGAAGACATTCCGAGCAACAAAAACAACGTTCAAGTATTAACAAGTTTGATACTAAGTCATGCTTCTTGGAGGCGGGCGGAAAGCAATGCGGAACAATTTCGTTTTCCCTTTCATCAATAAATTGTGCCTATTCTATTTCTGGTTTACCCAATTTGTTACCTAATACTAGAACAAATTCAGCACTAGAACTAAATAAAAAATCAAGCGTATGCGCGAACGACGTATCGGAGAAAATTACTTTCAAAATGAGAAAAATGCATGGTATTAAAATAACTCACCATTTTAGTTACTTTAACGCACATACAGGATTACTTTCACGGGTTACCATTATCTAAATAATTATTCTCATTGATTCCATAAATGTTAGTAAGCTAGCAGATAGTCGTCTAAAAGCCAAAATGCCTAAAGTATGAAAATAATGTTGTACGTAAGCTCTCATTAAATCGTTGACATAACCTTCCAAATTCATGCTGTATATGTTTGAACGCAGGTCAAATTGTCACTCACCTCCAAAGCATACAGTTAGCATTACTGTGAGTACAAAACACACGCCTTCAGACATTGTGAAGCGAACAGCTACTGCTGGTAAAATATTCTGCGAGCTTAGCGTGTATTTATAGAGTACTGAAATGTCTTCATAAACTGTGAAGGTCTTCCTTCATTAAATTCAGAAAAGGCTGCTCCACAGCGAAATACATAAAAGCCTAAAGTATTCAACTTTTTTTTTTTACTGGTATTTTTTTCTTACGTTATACTTGTCAGAGCGCGATGGTGAGTGCAGCACGTTCCTTCTTCCTTTCCAATATTAATCATGATGCCAGAAACTTGTCAGCGCAACGCACCTGCCTGCTCGTCACAAAAATGAATTTTCACTCTAATTCTGTGACACGAATATGAAGAAAATTAATCTTACACTGACGTAAAGAAATGTTAAAGGAAGGAGCCAAACAACGTGCAAAACGCCGAGCTCACGCGAAAGGTCGCGGTATGCGGTTTTAGAATGACTGCGGTACGTTAACGTGACATAAGACTCTTCAAATGCACGCACAGTGAAACTACACTGTCAACTAAACGTCACGTGTTTAATTTCAACTGTCATTCTCAGGCAGTTCGAGCAAATATCATTTCAGCAGAAGCTGCATCGTGGCAAATGGAATGCCCTTATCACCGCTCCTCCAAGACGGAGAGGATAACTGCAATAATACTTAAAAAAACAAGCGAGCTGGTGATGATTCATGGTAATAAAACCCGAGACTCAGGAACACAGAAGGGTCCGAACACAACACAACACAACACGGCGAGGATGAGGCTTTTGGCGGTTTTTATTTCTGCTTCCTTTATCATTATTTTAATAAAATGAAGACTAATTTTGCACGGCTGCGATTTTATATTAATCATTTGTTTATTTCCTTCACGCAAGATCGCAATATAAAAAAAACGTAATTTAGGTGAGGCTATCGTGATTAGTGAGAACCAAGTTAATTTTGTTTTGGAGGTTTTAATTCCCTTTCTGAGCACATTGTCCGCCGGACAGCGGTTCCAGCTTTCACCGAAAACAATTTTTTTTGGCTAAAAGGAAAGACTGAATCTTGCTCTAGTAGCAAGAATAATGCTCGTTAAAACCTTTGAAAGGGTTGACATTAATCATCTCTTTAAAATACAGACCATATCGTTTATATATATATATATATATATACATATATATATATATATATATATATATATATATATATATATATATATATATATATATATATATATATATATATGGGTAATTTCACCTCAAATCGGGCAGGCTAAAAGTGTATAATCTTAATTTTCACGAAAAAAATATATGTTTTGTGGGTATTTCTCAAATGAAGGAGGGCGCAAACCGCATGTTCTCCCGATTTTTTGTTCTCGAGTTACGAGCCGTAGAAGCCGCAGTGGCAGAAACTGGTGTTTTTGCCTGCCGTCGCAGGTCGCGTGTTTGACACCCTCTGCTGACGCTATTGTTTTCTCTACACCCTTTTAAATTTTCCCCCTCATTTAATAGGTACTATAAAGATACCTTGATGTATTCAAATTTTTTTTAGAAATTTGATTGTTTTTTAAACACATGTCAAACTCGTCACTCCGGTCGCTTTTCGGTCAAATTTGACAGGTCATTACTTTGTCTGTACTTAAGGTTTTTTTTTTTCTTTGGCTCTACAGAAAGCGCAAAGCAAGCCCATTATAGGTATAATAATATTATTGTGATTTGTCGACTAGCCACTCCGCTACCTTCACGTAAACTTTGTAAGAAACAACAAATGTTGAAAGTTTGAGGTCGATTTTCTCAAAAACCCCATTTTTGTAAATTTTTATTTTTTAAATTCTTTTAGACATATCAGTTGGCTACAAGAAAAAACAGTCTAAAATGACTTGAAAGTAAACATCTTCGACAGAAATCTGTCGAAGATGTTTACTTCGTGGAACGTGCCTTCGAGGCACGTGCCACTTCGTGGAACGTGCCTCGCAAGTGAGACTCAGCGATGATGACACGATTGTGTCTTTCGACGTTGTGTCACTCTTTACCAGCGTGCCAGTTCCCTTAGCAGTTGCTGCAGCCAGAGAGGTTCTCGAGAAAGACGAAACATTGGGCTCAAGAACCAGCCTCAGTGTTGATGAGCTATGCCGCCTTCTCGAGTTCTGCCTTGGCAGTACGTACTTCAGCTTCAAGGGTGAGCTTTTCAAACAAGTCAGCGGAACGGCAATGGGCGCGTCTATTTCGGTCGCGACGGCAAACCTCACAATGGAAGTGGTTGAACAGAAAGCGCTTAGCACTTTCGCCAACAGGCCAAAAGAGTTCATGCGCTATGTAGATGATTGCTTTTGCATCGTGAAGAAATCAGAGGTGAACCACTTCCTCGCACACCTGAATTCCATAGAACCGGCCATCCAGTTCACTGTAGAATACGAGAGAGATGGAGTCTTGCCGTTCCTCGATGCTCTGGTGAAAAGGCAAGGAGACAAGCTGGGGTTCACGGTCTACAGGAAGCCAACACACACCGGACGCTACCTTGATTATGACTCGAACCACCCAACGAGTCACAAGACGTCGGTGGTCTCTACTCTCCTGTCTAGAGCAACGACCATCTGCTCGTCCGAAAGAGACAGAAGAAATGAGAATCAGACCATACTTGCTGACCTCCAAAAAAACGGCTATTCAAGGAGTTTTGTCCAACGCGTCGCCCGTCGACAGTGCTGCACGCGCAATAACCATGGATCGTCGGGTGACACACAGCCCCGCCCCATCGCGCGCATCAGCGTCCCCTATGTAAAAGGGACGAGCGAGACACTGGCGCGCGTGCTCCGAAAAGAAGGCATCCAAGTGGCGCACAAGCCAGTGTCAACATTAGGACGGCTCATGCCAAGGCCGAAAGATCGCCTCCCAAAAGAGAAAGCACAGGGCGTGGTCTGCAAGATACCGTGTGCGGAGTGCCCCGCCGCCTACATCGGTGAAACTAAATCTTTTCCCGAACGCATGCGCCAGCACCAGAACGATGTGCGCAATTTCGATCGCGAGCGTAGCGCCGTCGCGGAACATTGTGAGGTGTTTGATCATCGGATCGACTTCGGAAAAGCACACGTGATAGACACGGAGCCACACATTCGAAGACGCCTGTTCTTGGAGTCGTGGCACATCCAGAATACACCGGGGAACATTAACAGGTCCCTCGGGGCCTTACCATCTATTTACGTCCATGGCCTGCGTCACGTTGAAAAAACATCACCTCGGTAGAAGAAGAAGGAGAGGTCGAAGCTCGCGCTGTCCAATTCCATTTTTAGTCACCCCTGAAGAAGGAGTCAAGTCGACCCCGAAACGTTGGGAACTGCTGTTTCTAAACTTTTGGTTTGAGTTTTCTTTTTTTCGAAGTCTAAAAATGTAATATTTTGGTTGTATGTCCTCTGCTTGAGCCGCAATCGCGTGAAATGTGTGAACATTTGTTATTTTTCACAACGTTTACGTGAAAGTAGCGGAGCGGCTACTTGGCAGATAATAATGGTATTATTATATCTATAATGGGCTTGCTTTGGGCTTTCTGTAGAGATAAATACAGAAAATTCACCTTAAGTACAGACAAAGTAATGACCTGTCAAATTCGACCGAAAAGCGACCGGAGTGACGAGTTTGACATGTTTTTTAGAAAACAATCAAATTCCTAAAACTATTTGAATACATCAAGGTATCTTTATAATACCTATTAAATGAGGGGGAAAAGTTAAAAGGGTGTAGAGAAAACAATAGCGCCAGCAGAGGGTGTCAAACACGCGACATCCGACGGCAGCCAAAAACTCTGGTTTCTGCCACTGCGGCTTCTACGCTTCGTAACTGAAGAACAAAAAATCTGGGGAACATGCGATTTGCGCCCTCATTTATTTGATAAATGCCCGCAAAACATATAATTGTTTTGTTAAAATTAAAAATCAGACTTTTTTATTCTGCCCGATTTGAGATGAAATTTCCCATATCGGGCAGGCTGAAAGGGTCCAGCTTTTAATTTTCACGAAAAAAATATATCTTTTAGGGGCATTTCTCAAAGAAATGAGAGCACAAACCGCAAGTTCCCCAGATTTTTTCGTTCTCGAGTTACGAAGCGTAGAAGCCGCAGTGGCAGAAACTAGTGTTTTCGCCTGCCGTCGCAGGTCGCGTGTTTGACAGCCTCTGCTGGCGCTATTGTTTTCTCTACACCCTTTTACTTTTCCCCTTTTTTAATAGGTATTATAAAGATACCTTGATGTATTCAAATAGTTTTAGGAGTTTGATTGTTTTCTAAAAAACATGTCAAACTCGTCACTCTGGTCGCTTTTAGGTCAAATTTGACAGGCCATTGCTTTGTCTGTACTTAAGGTAAATTTTTTTATTTGACTCTACAGAAAGCCCAAAGCAAGCCCATTAGAGATATAATATTATCATTATTATCTGCCGCGTAGCCGCTCCGCTACCTCACGTAAACGTTGTGAAAAATAACAGATGTTGACACATTTCAGGCGATTGCGGCTCAAACAGAGGACATACAACCGAAATATTACAATTCTAGACTGTTTTTTCTTGTAGTCGACTAATATGTCTAAAAGAATTAAAAAAATAAAAATTTACAGAAATGGGGTTTTTGAGAAAATCGAGCTCAAACTTTCAACATTTGTTATTTCTTACAACGTTTACGTGAAGGTAGCGGAGCGGCTAGTGGACAGTTCATAATGATATTATTATATCTATAATGGGCTTGCTTTGGGCTTTCTGTAGAGCCAAAGAAAGAAAATTTACCTTAATACACACAAAGTAATGACCTGTCAAATTTGACGAAAAAGCCACCGGAGCGACGAGTTTGACATGTGTTTTAGAAAACAATCAAATTTCTAAAAATATTTGAATACATCAAGGTATCTTTTTAGTACCTATTAAATGAGGGGGAAAATTTAAAAGGGTGTAGAGAAAACAATAGCGTCAGCAGATGGTGTCAACCACGCGACCTGCGACGGCAGGCAAGAATACTAGTTTCTGCCACTGCGGCTTCTAGGGCTCGTAACTCGAGAACG